CAATCCACATTATGATGAGAAAGAGACACAATCAACACGCGAAGGCACTCTCCTATGTGAACCCCCATTGGGACGATGAGACTCTCTTCCAAGAGGCCAGGTATGCATGCAATACATTCAGTTTTTTGCTCAATTTAAAGTGCTTTAAATATTATGATTAGCGCTATGTTTCGCACTAATATTTAGCATTTTGTGACAGTTTTGTAGTATATTTTATGCGGAAATTTTTCTGAAATTTGATGTAATTTTTAAAATAATGACAAACACTTTAACAATTATATGAGAATTACGAGTAAAACATTGACAATCAAATACTGAACTCAAACTTTCAGATTCAATGGCTAATAAAAAAAAGCCAAAGAAATTGCAGTTTTGTTGGAAAAATGGGAAAATACTTTTCCTAAAGACATTGTTATGAATGAGTGAAAACAGTAAATAAGTTATGGTTTAGTAAATCTGAAAAATAAAAAACAATGAAAAATTTGAACATTGAATTAAATTGTAAGGCATTAGATAATAGGCTTATTGATTGATATTTATTTGTAATCTATCCTATTTGAGAGGTACGAACACATTGTACTCTAATTACCCCATAATTATTAGCGTATAATAAATATTTGATAACATAATTATGCATAATTTAGGCTCTGATGAGAGATTGCTGCAAAAAAATTGTCAAAACTATTTGATGATATAATTCATGAAAATAATTTTGTGTTTATATACTGTTATTATCGCTTATTATTACAAAGAATACAAATAATTGCATATAATTCTTGTTGAGATGAAAAATATTGCCAATAAGTGAGTTGTTGTGAAATATATAGATTTAAACACCTTAACAGATAACAACTTAATTGATATACTTTTGAATCTTAAACATGTGATTTTATACATTTTTTGTATTTACAACTTTTTAATTAATAAATAGATTATTGTAATTTTAAAAAAGTTAGAACAAGGGTATTCTTTTCAAAGGTTATCTATTGTTAAATATGGTTTTTGTTTTTACCGTAATATCTTGATTATATTTAATTAATCAATCATAATATGAATTAAAGTTTTCAATAACTTCTTAATGAATAGGAAAACAGATTTTATGGGTTTTAAAATTTAACTCTACTTTTGAAAGAAAATATATTTTTCAAAATAAGTGTGAATTCTGTTAACGAAGCGAAGAAAATATAATCAACAAATAAAACGTATAATTTTTTCATCAATTGGTCTACTGTTACACAAAATGCAGAAATCATTTCAAGGAAAAAGTGAGCTTAAAAAATATTGAGACACAAAAGTAAATAGATTGTTTCAAACACAAAAACCCATTCAAAACCCCTATACTTATGCGATCAACAGCTATGATATGATTGCTATTATTTCATTGTTTTGCTTACTGTCCAAACCTGCGGCCGTGACCTCATGTTTGCCATCATATTAGCGCTGATTTTTGCTCAAAATCTCAATTTCTTATTATAATTCTCCGATTTTTTCCTTTTAAAAAAATTCAATCCATTTAATACTAAAAGGTTTGCGATTATATTATATCACATACAGTATACCTACATATGAACCCAGTGTTGAGCTATCAAAATACCCTTTGTCTCCGTTTTGCACGCTTTTGCCAAAAGAAAAATATTTGAATCACTATTTTTATGTTACAATTATTAAAAAGCACAACAATTTCGAGGTTAAGGTATACTGTATTTGTTTTGGCAATTTTTTTTGAGAACAACTTTTGTTTTCTGATTCACAATAAAAAAAAATTCATTATTTTTTTATTATGTAATGTTTGATGGATAGTTGTATTGATAATAATGCTTCACATTTCTATCTGTCTAATGACTTGTCTTTATTCCTCTCATTATAGACAACATTTATTTGAGTTTTAAGTTTATCCTCAAAAAAAATCTCTAATCAAATGTTTCATTAAATATATTATGTTTTCAATGTCTAAACTATTATAACAATACCTCAAGACTTGTATAATCATTAATTCGCTTCAAATATTCAGTAGATATACAGTATTGCATAACTAGTGTTATTGTTATTACATATTTATTGTTAATAAGTTTCATAAATCTCTAAAAAGTATTGAATACTATATAATATTCATTGCTTTTGAAAAAACAATTAATCAAAAATCCCTTGAATTTGATTATAATCGGCATTAATATAAGGAATTAAACAAAGCCTAGAATATTATAGTTTGCATAATATTTCCATCAAATATTTAGATTTAAAATTTTAATTCACAATTTGTTTCGCCATTAATTCAATGCCAAACTATAGACGACTATTGATCGCCGAGACAACGAAAATACATTACGGAGAGTATATGCCGTCGATTTTGGGCGAAAAACTCATGGATTATTTTGGTCTGAATGTGAAACACGACGGTTACACACAATACGACCCGCATATTGACCCCTCGACCCTCCAGTCTGTGGCTGTGGCCGCTCTACGTATGGGTCACTCGCAGATCTTCTCTCAATTTAATGTATTAAACAAAAATCCCCACAACTTTCACCAGCAGTCCTATAGTTTCCTATTGAGAAACAAATTCTTTGAAATGTCCGACATTTGGTTGGGAAATGTAAGCAAACAATTAGCCGTAATATTTAATTCGCAAACTAATCCCTTAATTACATGAATATCGCATTAGTCTCAGGGAATACTTCGCGGTCTCATCGAAGGCCAGTCCGAGAACAGCGTCGACCCATTCATTGTGACCGATGTTAAGGACTTTTTGAACTTCAACCCGAGGACCACAACCAATGGCAAAATGGTTATAACCCAACCCTCGGTCATTGATTTGTCGGCCATTAACATAAACCGCGGTCGAGAGCACGGCGTTCCCGGCTATATATACCACTTGGAGTACTGTACGGGAGTGCCCATTAAGTCGTGGTCCGATTTGAATCAATTCATGTCCGGTCCCCGAATACAACGATTGAAAGCTGTCTATAGGTTTGTATAAATGATGAACCAATTAGTTGTGATGAAATTGTAATCAAATTATGGATAATTAAATAGTGATGTCGGAGATATCGATCTGTTTGTGGGCGGTTTGTCTGAGAACAAGGCTTTTGGCTCAATATTAGGGCCCACTTTTGCCTGCCTTAATGGCATTCAATTTCACCACTGGAAATATGGCGACCGATTCTACTTCGAGCATGGTGGACAAGCTGGATCATTCACGCCCAGTAAGTATTACCATTATCATTTGTAATAGCTTAATCCAAACAACACCACTAACTAATTACTGTTTGAATTGCAGAGCAACTAAATAACATCCGTCAGACCTCATCGTTGGCTAACCTGATGTGTAAGACCAATGACTTCGACGCGATTCAAGTGAACCCGCAGTTCAACCCGTCTGAGCACAACCCGCGTGTGCCGTGTCATGCATTGGCAGAGATTGATTACGAACTCTGGAGAGAAACGTCTCATTCATATCAAGACTATAAGAAGAAGAAATAAGAATCACTTTTTTCTCTCCATTAAACAAATTAATTGTTATTTTTTAAAACTCAAAACTTAATTGCATTTTGAGATGTAGTGGAAAAACTCACTAAACATTCCTCATTATAGTGACAAATGACACACAAATTACAATAAAAATCTAAATTAATTTTTAAAATTATTATTATTTGTTTGAAAATCAAACTAAAAAATATGAATTTATTTTTCTAATGAATATTTTTATTTTTGAATATTGGGATTAAACACAATTATAACAATAGAGAAAACATAAAAACATACAATTTGTCTGTTTTGTTGGTTTAGTTTAATTTTTTTGAATAAATAGTTTACGAAAAAAAATTAGCATAAATTGTAAGATAAGTCCAAAATAAAGTGATTGTGAGAAAGGGATTGAAAAAACAAAGATATATTAAAACAAAATTTCATTTGTTATTTATTCATACAATTGTTTGTGAATTTTATGTTTGTTTTTATTATTATTATAATATATATTGAGTTTGTTTTAAACATTTATTATTTTTGATACACAATATCCTAATTTGTTAAACATGTTAATGTATTGCCTAATTATTGCCCCTTTAAAACGATTCAATTTTTATCTTAATGTAAATATTTTTTGCTCAAAATTGTCTTAAATTACAACAAAAAATTATAACAATAACTATTTTTAAAATATTCAATATTAAATTCTGGAAAATAATTTAATTGGGAATAAAAACAAATTTTAAAACAATAACTATTATGCTATTAATTAATTGTTTATATCATTACTCGATATATCAAAACGAATATTAATTTTATATCTTGATATACGTATATTTCGTAATTTTAGACAATATCTAATTTAATAGTACAATTAATAATTATGGGTTGATTTGTTTAACTATTAAACTAAAATTTCTGTTATCATAAAGTTTGGTTTATTTTTAAATTGTGTTTTTATAAACAAATAAATTTTTAAAATAGATTTACTAGATTTAAAGTTTTGAGAGAGAGAGAGAGAGAGTAAAAAACTGAATGTATTGCATGCATACCTGGCCTCTTGGAAGAGAGTCTCATCGTCCCAATGGGGGTTCACATAGGAGAGTGCCTTCGCGTGTTGATTGTGTCTCTTTCTCATCATAATGTGGATTGAGTTAACGCCGGGCTGTTGGTTGCCTCGGATGCCGTCTCCGCTGTGATAACACGTGAGCTCCGGGTTATTGAGCGGTTCGTTACACGGCGTCAGGTCTAGAGTGTCCTGTTCTTTGGGCAGACGTCTCACCGGAAGTGTTTCGTTGCCATTGATATCCAACGATCCTCTCATAAGTCCTAAAAAATCAAATCCAAATAAATAAAAGTGATTTTTAAACGCTTAAAGTGTCGAATCGATTAAATTCATACCCTTAACAAAACTCCTGAGGGTTAGGGTGTCGTCGATTAGGTTACCGCCGTATAAGTTGGACAGATCCATCACCTGAGTGGCCACATTCAGCTGTTGTCGGGGTCCTAATTATATATATTAATAATTATATGAATTTTATTTTTTTGTGAATATTTTGCCAAATAATCAATTAATTGCTATAAAAAATAACATTTAATTTATAGCATGTGTTTTGAAAAATATCCAAAACTTACCTTAACTTGATTTGAATATTGATTATTAACCCAAAGCTTATATGTATTGAACTCATTATTTAATTTTGTTTTTATTATAATTTAATGTGATTTAAATTCTCTGAAAAACTATAAAGATAACTAGGGCTTGGATTTCAATGATCATTATTATATCAATATAATATAATTCTAGCAATTTTTGATTTTGTTGTTTAATCAATCAGTCATTTCCAGAGTTAAGGATAAATGCTTTGGAAATAATTTTGTTTTAATTCCCAAACATTCGCTTCTATTTCACTAATTATTCATAATTTATGGCAAAATAACAAAATACTTAATATTGTATACGTTTTAAGGGATTTGAAAATCTACTGCATTTGAATTGATTGGCTCTCTGATATTCATTTACGTTACCTTTACGAATTATTTACTCATGTACTATACGCTACCTTCTATTAATCGATTAGCACACTAGCCTTAACTATAAATTATTAATTTAATAACGTATAAGACATGTCAAACACAATGTAAAACATGCCTTTGGATGCCTTTCCACTCTTTAATTACTTAATTGACTTTTTATGTGTCGTTTTTATTGACTTACTTTCAATTCGCAGCGCATTATTAATTAAAATATTGAGCAAAACTCATAAATATATGCATTAAAATCAATTTGTAGAAAACAAAAGAGCAATTTAACAGATAATAGATTACCTAAACTGCAAGTATTACAAGTGGCAGATCTGACTGTATTAATGCACTGCTGTTTATTGAAGGCTTGTGTGGCCTCGTCTTGAGGGAAGTTAGTGATAGGCGCGCACTCCGGATGGACAGTCACGTTAGGAATGAGGCAACAGTTGATGGCGAGACCCAGATTCTGGATGGTCCGGAAGTTGTCGTGAACCATGAACTGACCCCACATCATGTTCATACCCGTGCGCTTCTGGTCGGGCACCGGGATGTCCGGCATAATGAACTCAGTGAGCAGTCGGGGTGAGGGCAGGGGTAGACCACTGGTGGCCGCGCGGGGAATGTTAATGCCGTCGGCGAAGTCGGCGGGCAGTAGTCGTCGGTGGCAGTGGAAAGATGAGCCCCAATTAGTGTTATGCAAATTATTGCACCGACCGTTCATCAGTCGGTACTTGTATTTGGAGTCGCATTGGA